CTGTAAGATCTAATATTTTTATCTCTTTTTATTTTTTTTTAGACATAAAACTTTTCTTTGAAATTTCTATTTTTTTAAACTAAATATTCTTTTAAATTGTAAAATACTTATTTAATTGTATTTAATTGCGTGTTAATTAATCAAATTCATAGTTACAACACTCTTGTATTGCAATTGTTAATTTTGATTTTAATATGCCTTTGTTTGAATAAAATGGAATTTCTAACCTATTAGCACATGTATGTGCTGTTGGCATCATAGAATCAGGGTTATCATAATGAATAGAGGCAATAGTAAATGGTAATGGAGTTCCATGGCTACTTTTTAATTGAACAAATCCACCAATAGGTGCTCTAGAAGAACCAGTAACAAATTGAATAAATTTTCCTTTTAAAGAATTTTCCATTTCATTAATAATTTCCCATAACCATATAATTTGAAGTGATTCTTTTGTATATCCATCAAGTACAACATTTCTTTTAAGGTCTTCAATATCAAAATTATTTCCACAAATAATTCTATCCAATTCTTTTTCATCAAATAATTGAATGGTTGATTCATCAATAAGAGAATAAAACCCTTTTTTAATCCATTTTATTTGTTTTTCTATTCTTGTATTAAATTTATATTGAAGAAGTAAATCAAGATATTCTTTTTTATTTTCTTGAGTAACAAGAATATTTCCTCCATTTGTTTTTAGTTCAACTTCATGAATTTTATTATTAATTCTTTCTGTTTCTGTAAATGTTAACCCCCATTCAGTAACATCTTCTAAAAACAAATTATCTATTTGTTGACTCATTTCTTTATCAAACATTTTGATATCTTTTAATTCATTTCTTTTACTTAACAATAATCTTAATACAAATAATGCTAAATGAAAATCACTTGTAAATCCATCATAAATCATTTTTGCAAGACATTTTCCAACAAATATAAATTGATTTTTCTTAAAACATTGATAATTTGGAACAATATAATTATTTTCTATAATAAATAAATCTTCTATTCCATTACTTAGTTCTTGAACAAGAAGACTATAACATTCTTTCAATAATCCTCCATTATCATTTCCTTGTTCATGTTTAAATTCTATTTTAAATAATCTATCCCATTTTTCTGAATGTTTTATTTGTTTAAATAAAGAGTTAAATACATTATTTCTATCAATAATAATTTTCATAAAATGGTTATAAACCTTATGTTTTCCAATTTCTTTTATTAAGTCTTGGTACTTCATTTCAAATGGAAGAAATTCTCTATGATTACTAAGAAATATTAAAGAGCTACTTAATGCAAATCTATTTAATCTTAATTCTTTTTCAATAAACCATTTCATTTCTATTACAATATCTTTAACTATTTCATTATACTCTTCTTTTATAACATAACTAAGTAATAATAACACAACTCGACACACTAATTCGTTATGATATTTTTTAACATAATTCAAAAGATTTGAATAATTTTCAATAATTACATACTCTTCTTCCATTTCTTTTTCTTCTTTTTTTTCTATTTGTTGAGGCTCTTCTTCTTCCATCAAAATATCTTGAGTTAATTGATTTACCTTTTCTTGAATAAGTGATGGAGAGACATTATTTTTTGAAATATCTTCTAAAAGTGTTTGTAGTTCCTTTATTTGATTTAGTGGTTGTGTTGTTATAGTATCATGTTGAGACACTTCGGAATTGTTTTGATGATCATTTTCTTCATTAAATTGTATTTCATCATTATCATCATTACTTCCGTCATTATATTCTCTTATAATATGATATTGTGGATCAATTCTTTGGCGTATTTCATTGATACCTAATTCTCCAAAAGTTCGTGGTAATTGCAAATATTCTCCATCACCAAGAATATATTCTTGTGGTGGTAAAATTCCAAATTCTAAATTTCTTAATGGTAATCTTTGATTTACTAATCTAACAAGAAATGGTGATGTACTTCGTTCTGTTTCTTCATGTTCGTTTAATGTAGAAGGAACTAGTGTTAATAACATATAATACAAGTCTAGTAAATAGTCTTGATTTAACTCTTTTTCATGTAAAACTTGTATATTTTTCTTTAAACATTTATCAATAAGACTTTGTGTTTTTGATTCAAAATGAAGTTGGTTAGAGTGTGGTTTATTTCGATAATACCTTCCAAAGATAGATAATAATTTTAATATGTATTTTTCTTTATTAATTTTAATTTCCTCTATTTCTAATTTTTGAGGTAAATATACAATTGCATTGAGAATTATTGAATTTTTCATGTTAGCTTCAATCATCATACATAAATTATCAATTATCATTTCCTTAATTTCTGAAGATATTTCTGAACCTTTTTGTTGATTAACATTATTGAATAATTGCCAATATCTAATCATTTTTTCATCAACTTTACTTTGAAGAATTTCAATAAATAAATCATTGACAATATATTTCATAAAATTATTATATACAACATTGAAGTTAATTTGTGAATTACAGAATAATGAATTAATCTTCTGTAATATAATTTTACGTTCATCTTCTGTACAAATAAAATATATACTCAATGCCTTTTTGATGTTAAATTCAGGTACAGTCTTTGAACCAGAACTTATCCATGTGTTTTTGAGTGTATTTGAGTTCAATTCTAATTTATTTATCCTTCTTTGTTTAAATTCTTCACATGGGAATTTTCTTATATCATGTGATAATTGAATACCTCTTCTATCTTCACTCCTTCGTATTCTTGGAATATTATGCTCTTGATAATAATTCATTACTGCTTCTATTCTATATTCTTCAGGTAATTGCATCAATGTTTCACTATCAAATCCTTGAGGAATAGGAACTACGCCTAACCCAGGAATATCAATTACTTGAACATTTTCTTCTTCTGTTTCTTCTTCCTTTTTATCTTCTTGATGATCTATTTTTATATTCATTCCTGTAAATTTATTCATGAAACTAATAATTGTATTACATCCATCTTTCATCTCTTGTTCTGTTAGAATTTCTTGATACATAATCATTAATGATTTCATTTCTTTCATTTTATCAATCTTATTTTTCTCACTATATTTGATAAATCGTTTTACAATATCTTTAATTTCTTCATTAACCTTAAGAACATGTATAAGTTCTTTTAACTCTTTTATTTCACTACTTTCTTCTTCCATTTTTTCTTCTTTATTTGAAATTTTATCATGTTCTTGTGATGTATCTTTAACTTGGTCACTAATAATTTTAATAGCTTTTCTAATTTTATTTAAACAATCTTCCTTCCATTTAATATTCCAATTCCCTTCTAACATCCCTTTTGTTCTTTTAGTTATAAAACTTTCTTGACATAATTGATAAAATAAAATATCATCAGTATCATTCTTTATTTCCATTGATTTTCCTTTCAATGTTAAGTAAATATATTGGTTAAATATATCGTTATTTTTATCCATAGGTTCATTACATTGTTTTCTAGGTTCTTCAAATAAACAAATGTTTTCTTTATTCTGATATAATCCAAAATGTAAAATATCAGACATATCAAGTGCAGAAATATTACTTCTATGAAATAACATTTTAATAATACTTCCTTCCTCAGTATTGATATCAATAAATCCTTCTTTGTAAATAGTAGAAAGCATTAAAACATCTTGTTTGTTTAATGAATTACGAAGTATAATTTGAAGAATTTTTTGTTGGTATTTACGGAATAATGATACTGTATTATTATTAATAAGTTTCATTATTAGTCGAACTACATTCATTTCTTCATTATATTCTGTAGCATCTAATCTTTTAACTAAACACTGAATCAACATTGAAATTAAATCAAGATTATCAAGATAAATATCATATTTTTCATTTTCATCTTGATGGAAATTAAGTATTCCAATACTATGTATTTGCAATGGAAATTGAATGAAATCAGCTATTTGACACAACATTAATGCACTAGTTAAACTAATCTCCAAAGTATTTTTTGATAAAAGGATTTCTTTTAATATATCTTTATTACATAATTCAATCATTGGTCGATATAATTGAATATGAATAAGAGAAACTCTATCAATAAGAGAAATTAAAGTCTCTTCACATCCTTTAATAATAAGATTACTACCTTTAAATACCTTAACAAAAGAGGCTTTTGCTGTAAAATGTTTATTCTCATTGAACAGTGTTAAATCGATATCATCATAAATATACCCTACTACAGGAAGTAATTTACGTTTAATTGAACAACTTTTTTCGAATTCTTGAATTAAAATATCTTTTATTTCTTTTGGTGTATGATCGATTAATGGATGACCCAAGAAAGAATCAATTTCATTTAAACCAACGAATATCCCTTGGTTAAATAGCTGTGAAATTATTTTAAATGATACTACTTCAGGAAGAAGAAAATTAATAATAGTTTGTTTAAAAGTATTATCACAATTGAAATGTTCAATAAAAGAAGGAATTGATTTAAGAATATAATGATATATTAATTTATCTTTATTACTTTTGAGTGGTGGTATTTTATTCCACAATAAAGAAATAATTTTTCTTTGATGTTTATAGTACCATTCTCTATCTCGTTTTCTAAGTGGAGTTTCTTTTTGTTGAAGAAAGAATAATAAATATAATAATCCATTTCGAATTGTTTTCTTTTTCATAAATTCTTTAATAAACATATCTTCTGGAAATCCTCCAATAGTTTCAGTCATTAAATCAATAATACAATTAATTTTTTGTAAAGTATTATCTGTTTCCTTATCAATAGAATTATCAAATATTCTAGTGATTATATGTGTATTATTACTAGCTACATAATTAATTAAATCAAAAGTAATATCAAGTATCTTCATAATTTCTTCTTTTTCAATAAAATTGTTTTGATTTCTTTTTGATGAGTTAGCATAAATAAGATTAAAATGAAGTAATATTTGACATAAACTATCAAGTGAATATTCCTGTTTTTCTTTTAATTCTTCCTGTGTTATTTGAACAGTAGTTTCTAAATTATTAAAACTGAAATATTTATTATATCTATGAATAAAATTTGGAATACATTGTATTGGAATATATTTCTTTAAAATAGAATCAAAACAAATTCTATAATCATTATTTCTACCTATTTGTTTTTTATTCATTACTTTTTGAATAGCAAACCATTTATATCCATCTCTTTTAATTGAGTCATTAATTTCTTCAAAGTCAATTTCATTATTAAATGGTTCTTTTTGTTTATATTTATAGTCAAACTTAATAAAATTAATTGATAAATCCGATTTAATAGAATCAACCATGTCTTGCAGATAATTATTAAAAGAACATGTAAATATTGTTATATTTATATATTCATTAATCATCATCTTAATGAATGCTAAACAAAAGTGTTGTTTCATATACTTTATCAATTTAGAAAATGTTGGTTTTACTTGATCAGCATCAAATAATTCTGTATATTGAATAATACAATCAAATAAGATAAATAAACAAGTAATAACAGCATTGTCATGTGTTTGATCTATTACATCATTAATTATTTGAACTAATTCATCAAATTGTGGTCTAAATAATGAATTCATTCCAGTCTTACATTTAAACTGAAATATAATTGGAATAAATTTAATACAAAAACCTCTTTTGGATAAATTAGATTTTAAAATACTAATAACATACTCAGAGTCTGTTGGTTTAAAACTATTCATACGTAATAATTTATCAATAAGAGTAACTTGTAAATCAAATTTAACAGATTCTGAAATATCAATAATATGTTTAATCTGTTCAATTACTTCATCAGATGAAGAATTAAACAATGAAAGAGAGACAATGTCATTTCTTAAATGAATATCAATTTGATCACATTGATATAAAAATAAAGATAACTCAACTAAACATGGAGGATTTCTATTTAATAAATGAGACAAACAACAATGAATAAAGAATATTACTTCTTTATTCAATTGTTGTTTTAATGATAAATTAAGATAATATTTTGTTATATCTACTAACATACTCAAAATAAATTCATTAGAAAAGTTATTTGAAATAAGTTGTAAAGAATCATCTCTATACTCTTCATCTTTCATCATTTCTTGTAATAATTCAATATTACTTAAATTTTTTGCTGCTTGAATAATATGAAGAAGATGTTCACAATTTTCATGAGAGTATTTCATATATTTTAATTGAGCTCCAAGTAAACTATCCTTATTACATATTGAACAATAAACTCTTTTTATATATTCTAAATAAGTTTCACCATCATTTACTTCATTACAACAATTTTCATTTATATCATTTAATACTATATAATCTGGGAACATTGAAATTATTGAAGAAACAATTTCAGGATATTGACAATAACAAAGTTGTTTTACTTTGGGAGATAATTTAATATAAGAAAGATGTCCAATATTTTTGAGGTATAACAAACATTCATTAATATTAGTTCTTTCTGTTTTATCAATTTCACAAACAATAAAATGCCCAATCAAATGAATATTTATTCGTTTCATTAAATAATTATTAATATTATCTAAGCATTTTTTAAAAGAACCCTCATTTGGTATTGAACATTCATTGATAGACATTATACTTGACTTTTTCCACAATGACGTTTCATTGCTTTCTTCATTTCTCTCTTTAACTTCTTTCATTAATTGAGTTTTATAGTTTTTCCTTAAAACTGCTTAAACTATCTTGAATTTTATTATTTTTATAATTTTTTAAATATTGAATTAACCAATTAACATTGTCAAATTCAACTTAAATTAGAAAATGAAATCTTCAGCATTATTACCAGTTGACTTCTTTGGTGTATCATCTTGTTTTGTTTCTTCATAAACTTCTTCTTTAAAATCATCACCAAATGATGGAAGTTTATCTTCATCACTTTCTTGTTTTGGTGCTTCATTTGGTTGAGAATTAACTTGTTCTTCTGTAGGATGTTCAGAACCTCCAATGTTTTCTTGTTCTTCTGTAAGATGTTCAGATTCTCCAATATATAAATGAGAAACACTAGCAAGGTGTTCTAAATCAACAATGTTTACAGGTGGGATCATTCTAACATCTTGTTGATCTTTTTCACCACGATATAAATTAATTTCAGTAGCACAATTATATTTCATTCCTTCTTCATCAATGAAATCAAATGAAAGATAATAATTAACACTAAAAATATCAGCAATATTTGTTAATGTTGGAGTTAGTTGTAAATTTTTTAAGAAGAATCTAAGTGGAACAATATCTCCTTTTACTAATTGACCATCAACTAATTGAATATTCTTAAAGTTAGTTCTACTTTTTTCCATTAAAGGTCTTCCAATAGATTCAACACGAATAACATTCATTTCAACTCTACAAATTTTAACATGTAATAAACGAATAAATAAACTACCCATAACTACATCATTTAAAGCATAAGAATTCTTTGATAATTTTAAGTCTAATTGAATGATTTTTTCAATACCAAGTTCTTGATTAATTGGTTGAATAAGACTTGGAGTATGTGGAACAATTAATGCAAATTCTTTTTCTTGTGGATTAATATGTGATTTTGACATAATATGAACACTTAAGACATACTTTAATTTTAAGAATTTACCATTATATGATTCATATTGATTTAATGGTGCAAATTCAAAAGGATACATAACTTGTTGGTTTGTTAATGAATTTGGACCACATAAATCAACTGAAGTATCAACGATTGTTTGTGGTTTCATACCACTTTGGCATTCTAAATTATTAATTTCATTGTTTTTTTTTAATTTCATCTTCAATAAAAATTAAAACAAACCAAAGATTCCTTGTAAAACTAATTTGATACCGTTATGCATAATTGGTTTCTTAATATTTCCCATTTGAATATATACTTTTCCTTTTATTGATTCTTGTGGTGTAAATTGAACTAATTCAATAATACCATTTTTTCTTTCTACTTTAACTTTAGGTTTTAGATGATCATCATCAAATAAAATTTGAATCGTTGATTGTTTAGATGCAGAACCACCAAACAAGAATGACTATATCGTTATTCGTTTCACTCTCTCAATAATCTTCTTTATTGTACTATATTTTAAAAGGAGAACTACAAACCATTCTTTCTTTAATATTTTTCAGTTTCTTTTTGAAAAGTCTTCATTTTTTTAATTTTCTTTTTATTCTTTATCATCTCAGAATTTTCTTTTTCTTTTATTTTTATTATTTTTTATTATTTTGAATTATATAACAAAAAAATTTATTATTAATGAAAAAAAAATGTGTTATATGAATTAATTCTGTCCACGATTTAAACTATTTCCCCTTTTAAAAATTGTTCTTTTTCTTTCCATTTGAGGTGGAACAGATAATTTATCATCTCCATTTGGCTCTTTGTTTATTGTGTCTATTTGACTTGCTCTAGAAGATATAGCATCTTTTCTTTTTCTAACGTCAGTTTGTAGTTCAATAATTTCTTCTCTTGATTTTAAGATCCTTTGTTGATATCCTTCAATAATTTGATCAAAACTCTGAATAAGATTTCTAATACACTTGTCATCAGACTGATCAAGAACAACACCAAATACCTTGTTCTCTTGAATTCCAAGGCTTTGTCCAATTTTTCCTGTTGGATCAATTAAATAACTAAATTCTTCTATGAGTTGTGTATGTCCTCTTCTTTTAAAGAAGTCACAAAAACTTTTAAACTTCTCTAAATTAGATGAAGCAAATTTGTTAAAATTTTGGATAATAACCATTCCTGTTTCTTTTAGTAATGATGGTTTAATAAGAGTAGTTAATGGATGCTGTGGATTAACTTCATTTTTTGAAACTGAGTCTAATAAATTTGTTACAAAAGAGTATTTTCCAAGAGCATAATCTGTGATTGGTAACATATACTTTTCTTGGAATGGTGTAGATGATTGATTAACACAAGACTGTGTAATTTTTGTTACAATAATTAATGACCTAAGAGAGCTTGGTGATGGTTTAGTGAGCTTTGAAGAAAACTTTAATGGAGTTAATAACACTGGATTAATTAATCGGAGAAATACAAATGCTCCAACAATTTTTAATGCCTCTTCATCTCCATAACGTTCTTTAACAGCAAGTCTAACTTTGGTAAAAATATATGTTAGTTCAGGACAAAACTTCTTTGATAAAATTGTGACAGTATCAAATAATTTATTAACATAATTCACAACAATTTCAATATTCTTTTTGGCCTTCTCATCTCCAACTTTACTATTATCAATTTCAAGTGGTTCAGTATAACTATTAATTTCTTCTAATAAAGGATTAATATATTCAACCAATAAATCTTCTGTTAATCTTCTACACATAGCAGCAGTGACATATGTCACTCCTTTATTTGATCTGAATAATTGTGTTTCAGACACTATTTCTTGTCAATATTATTTTTTTATTAAGTGAACAAGTTAAATTATAACAAACATGTATATTCTACTTCTGTTTTTAGTTCATTTCCTAATATTTCACAAAGTATACCACGTTCATAAACAAGTTTAACAAAATTATCCCAAAACTCAGGACTATCGTCAGTGTATTCTCTTACAACTGTTTTAACAAAAAAATAATCGTATGTTTGACAAATCTAAATATAAGTATCATTATCTTCAGATGACATAAATGACAAACTCTCCATAAGGTTGATATTCTTCTAAAATCATCACGGGATAAATTATCACTCATTTTTTGTTAAATTATTAAGATCTTCTCTTATATTTTTTTTCATTTTTGGAAAAATAAATAACAAGAAAAATAATAACACAACTTATAAAAAAGACTTCAAAATTAGATTTCTTAATTCAAATTTTCATAATCGTTTTTGCTTGTGCATTTTCTATAAATGATAAATGCTAACAATACGATTGCAAGTATTAAAAGAATACCAACAATCACACTGACACAAATAATAGCAATAAGAGTCTTATCATTAATACCATCATTGTTTTCACTATCTGATGAATTATCTGAACTAGGTCCAACAGAAGAAGAATGGCTTGATGACCCTTCTGATGGTTCAATTGGTTTTTCTGATGATTCTTCTGATGGTTCAATGGGTTGAGGTTGACTAGAAGATTGTTCTGAAGATTGCTCTGATGGTTCAATTGGAGTATTATCAGCGACAAAAGTTATAGTAAAAATGGATGATGACTCTTCTGAAGGAATAACATCAGAGGCAAGAATAATTTTATACTCTCCATTAACTGTATATTCAACACCTTCTTCAACAAGAGAACAAGCATCTCCAATTTGAATATATTTTTGATTAGACAATCCGTTAGCTTTAGTATTAATAGCGACTTTACCTGTATTAATAGCTGTATAACCAACAATCACTTTCTTTCCTTCAAAACAAATGGAATCCTCAAGAATAGCTTCTGGTCTAAAAACAGCATTAATAACAGAAGGTACTGTTTCCACAACTTCAATTTTTTGGTACTCTGCATTAGTTTTAGCATAACTAAATTGAACAGAATGAATTCCAGCGTCAGCCTTGATAGTAACAAGTTCAGTACTATCTTGTTTTAAATCAATTGTTTGTTCAAGTTTTCCATCAACAGAAACTTCAACTTTCCAATTGACTCTTCCAATGAGTTGATAATAAACAGTATTGTCAGTTGTATAAGTATGAACAGGGAATGTCAATGGAATAAATTCTCCTCTAACAATAGTTGCATTCATTTCATTTTCTGAAACAAGCATTTTATCAGCAATAACAGTAATTTCTTCTGTGGTTGTTTCAGGAACAGAAACAAAGAAAATACGAGTTTTTCCTGTTTCAACAACAAATTCATAAGGTAATTGACTTACTTCTGACAATGAAGAACAGTCTGTTGTTTCAGCGATACTAACATCTCCATGACCTAAAGTGTGGAAAGTATATCCAACTGTTTCCTTTTCAGCACTAATTTGAACCCAAACACCTTTCTTTCCATCTAAGGTTGTTCTTTCATTAAGATCTTCAATATAAATGTTAGTTGACCCATTAATAATTTGTGGGTTCTTGCATATGTCAAACTCTGCAGCATTAATTAATGCAATGAAGAGAATATATAAAAAGAACATGGAATAAACTTTTTAAGATCTCTTTCTTTTCATTATGATTAGAACTTTCATTAATTTTCATATTTTTTATAGAAAAAATAAAAAGAAAACTTAATAAAAAACAAAAATAAATGAGCAAAGAAGAAACCATTAAAAGTGTCAAAGAATTAAGAAACAAAATGGGGATTGTTTGTTTTAATGAATATTTAATAATTTAAAACGAAAAGACACTAAATGAAAAGACAATAAATATTGACTTAGAGAAATGCTCTAAAGAAGAAAAAATACAATTTGAATTATTAAAAACTATTCTTCCAACTTTTCAGCCATATAAGTCATACTAATTGACTTTTAATATTATTAAAATTAATTAATTATTGCTTTAAAATAGAAGGTAAATAATATAGTAAAATAAACCTTAAAAATAAAGCAAATTAATTTTGCAGTATAATAATGGTTCGTTTTAATACTAATTAAAACGAGGGGATAACTGCAATTGATAAAAGTAAGATATTGATTTACTTAAATATCTGTATCAATACTATAAATTATAATAAAAATATTATAATAATCTAGTTATAATAAAAATAAGTATAAATTATAATACAAATATTATAATAATATAATTATAATATATTGAA